TTTACAAAAAGTATAAATACTTGTTTGTTTTTTTTATCTACTGCAGCACTAAAATTGATGCATGCTGGTGAATGTTTGTAGTTTCCACATCTCCTCACTGAAAATGAAAACACTTTAATGGTTTAAGGTGCAGTCAGCTACATCAATGTGTGGATGACCTAAATTCAGCCAAATGCATGGGATTTAATGCAGAGGGTTTGTCACAGACTGTTTATATCGTTTAATCTTTATCCTGTGAAACTCAAATACGAGAAGCTAGAGGAAATCAATTAATCCTAAAGGTTACCAAGTTAAATGGATAAAAAAAATGCCAGACTAATGATATCTATATAAGAAATTCAGACAGACCCTTTTCTTCTTTTCCTACTATTTATTACCTCTGCCAGGGAGGTTATGTATTTAGTCGACTTTGTGTCTGTCCGTGTACAGCATAGATGAAAAGTTATAAACGGATTTAATGACCTTGTTACCAAAGGTGCACCTCAGTCCAAGGAATGACCCATAAAATTTTGGTGACTATCCACATCATAATCCAGATGCAGGAATTTTTTAAAGGACTCTTTAACATTATTTGGCGAAAGAAGCAGTTCCCCCCTAATCCAGAGTGTGGCAACACTGACTATTTACAGCTTCAGCATCAGACTCAAAAAGTCCAAAAGTATTATCCTTATGACAAAAACACAGGAAAGGTGAGCCATGCCTCGCACAAAGTCTCGATCTGCTGATCAAACATGAAAGCAGAGTGAATGAAGGTCAGAGCAGAACAAACACCAGAGGCTGCAGGCACAAACTGTGCATTTATTCATAAACCTATGAAAAGCTTTTAAGGAAATTGTTACCAAAGGTGTGTTTCATTCCAAGAAACAACTCATTTAAATCTGGTAATGATCCAGATCATCTGTAACCTTTAACTATAGCTGTTAGTCACATTATGGGGCAAAATTTGCTGCTTAATGGAAGTTTGTGCTTTTCTAGTTTATAAATTCTTTACTTTTTCCACCACCTTCAATCTGTCAACTGGACCCAGAAGGGGATGTCTGAAGTGAAAACATTAAGGGCACTCCCTGCTGTTTCTAGTGTGCTCTCCTCTAAAGCTGCCATGCCTGTGACCTTTCCTCTGACTGACCACCAGCAAAGCTTCATACAAACTGACCAGAAGTGGCCTTTAGAAAGGCTTGGCAGGGCTGAGGAACAAAACCCAGAAGCTCTAACGGCTTGTCTGAGCTCAGAACTGATGATAAACAAATATAATATTCATAAATGTAATAGAATAAAATATTACAAACCAGAACGTAATATAATGTCAGGATTTAAGCGCCATTTGGAGGTGAACTATTCTTAAGGTCTGGATAACCTAAAGAAACTGGTCTATCCATTCTCTGAATCTGTGTCCACCCTCATCTATCCATTTATCCAGTCTTCCATCTGTTTGCCCATTCATCCATCTTATATATTCAAAGCCTAACCACTCAAAACAAATCATCGTTAAGCTTCTGTATGTTTCGGTATGCAACTCTGAGGAGAAAAATGTGCAGCCATCTCAGGATCGTGCTGCACAAATCTGACATGTGAGCTGTATGAACGAACAACCAGACCTGTAACAGCAGGTCTGAGGGTGATTAAAGCACTGGATGTACCATCTTTTGTTGTTCTAAACACATTTCGCCTAATCATGAGTCAGGTAATATCCACTTCATTGTTTTCCTGCTTCAGATTTAATCTGCTGAACAGGAACGATCAGCTGTGAGTCAGGCATATTTGGAAAATCACTGATGTGCTAAATAACAGCTTTACGAAAAAAATTAAATGTTAAAAAAAAATAATAGAAAAATTGCATAAATAAAATTTGCATTGGTAAATCAAAGTAGTTTTAAACAAAAAGAATACAAAAAAAAGAAGACAGGCTAACTCATAGATGGACCAGTAGCTTAACAGATTTCTAGCTCATTCTGTCATTAGTCCAAGTTGTTTTTTCCACAGAGAAAAAGACAACTCAGCAAAAATTAAGGACATAAATCATTTAGAAACAAAAGCTCTATTTCTGAGATACATAGAGTTACTCTATGACTCTCTGACACTTATTTCAACACACACATTTATAAAAGCAACACCTCAGATTTCTGCATTGGCACCAATACGCTAGTCAGATTTTCTTAGCTGAAGTCATGCCACTGCTAATCAATCCATAGTTGAGTATTTTCAGTTCAAAAAGTTTATTTCAAACCTGCACACATTTTACAATACATATAATGACAAACAATACATGCATGGCTTGAAAAGGGGATGGAAGAAGCAAAAGCTTATATATGTCCAATCCCCTCCATCATCAATGAAAAGTCATTAAACATCAGAGTTAAATGATTCATTATACACAGGATGATTTATTTGTGGCGATAATGAATGCTTCTGGTTTGAGATAAAAGGTTTTCAAGGCGTTAATATAGTGCTGCTTTGGATCAATGGTCTCAGATAATGTTATTGTGACCAGCTTTCTATCCAAACAAGGTTTAAGTGACCTACTGCCCACTGGATGACACTGGCCTTTTCATGAATAAAACAAGGTCAATTATATTTTTTTTATGGATTTAGCAGCTTACCTCTTTAACGTCCAAAATATTTTCTATGCTACATTAGATAACAGTGTCAACATATTACCAATTATTAGTTATTAGTTCAAAGCATGGATGCACAGTAATAACTCGCCTATAATGATTGCATTTCAGTTTAAGATACACATTACGCGTATAATGAGGGTGTGATAATGCTAAATTTGCAATTTATTGAGCCGTTCTAATCAGGATGTAAAATATGACTTTACAGTTCATGGCTAAGCCAGCTTAGCTTGGCTATTCAGAGTGCTAGATCCAGGACATTGTAATGGAGAGTTTATTGGAGGGAAAAAGGAATGAGTGTCACATGAGCGCATTATTCAGAAAGCTAACAACTTGTTCCACTTGTGTTAACTGCTAATTCTCTGAGAAAAGGTTTGCATTCCTTACAGTTAAAAGCCTTTTAAAAGCAATAGAAATAATCTTGTTATAATGAGCCTATACATGATTCAGTTTTGATATTGCAATAATTAAACTTAAAATTATCATTTTAATCATTTGAGATCAAGTGTGGCTTTAAATGATGCACATTTCATGAAATCCAATAAAGCTGATCATCAGTTTAGCAGCACATGTTTCTGATTTCTTGCATAGCATCTTCCACCCATCTCACAGGAAACCTCTGACTGCCTCTCGACTCAGTGCAAATGACTTTGGCAGGTAGCTAAGACATTTTTGAGTATCAGAGATGAAAAACAAATCTCTTAACGATTCTTCTTCGCACTGCACTTTGAAGTACCTGCAATCTTGATGTTCATGTGGCCGTCCAGCAGCAGGTTCTCAGCCTTCAGGTCTCTGTGGACGACGTTTCGATTGTGACAGTACTCGACCGCAGAGAGGATCTGCCAGAATTTTCTCCTGGCCTCCAGCTCGCTGAGACGGCCGTGCTTTGCCAGGTAGTCTGCAGCCAGAGAGACAGACATTGGAAAGAGATGACGTGTCAAGTTAGAACCACATGCAGATGATATTTTGCACTGATTGCATAACATTACCCCCAAATAGACCTTTAAAAAATAAACAAACACTGAAGTTTAACCATAAAATAAGGAATGAAAGGAGATTTTTTATTAAAGTCCTGTGACGTGGTACTAGTGGTAGTTTTCATTTTTTTTGGGAACTCCTGCTCTCGCCGTGTGTGGGAGCATGTCTAAGTACACAGAGTCCGCCTGCCAAGTTTATCAGAGTAAGGAAGAACCACACACGCACAACTAACAAATGGAACAAATGGAGACACCCGTCCAAATATGAACGGCATATTTTGTCTTCAGAGTAATAAATAATTTGATTTATTTATCTACTAAACAAAACGGCAGAAATCTAGTTTGCAGACGATTAGAAAAACACACAAAACCCAACCGGATTCAGGCTTAGTGGGATCACAGAGATACATTTTTACCCTCTCCTTTTCCAAGAGTCCATATCTTTGGCCTCGACCTCTTACTGCCTGTTCTCCCCCTGCCCTGATTATTTTACTAACTGTTTAACAATACATGTTAAACTTTTTTCTTTTTTGTAAACAAATGATAACCAACAGATCTATGTGAAGTTTGTTGACGTCGGCAGGGTTCATCTTCGCACTTCTCTCTTCAATTCACACTTAACAGCAAACAAGAAGGGACACTGCAGTGGCTCTCCCTCCAGCTGGCATGAACCCAAACCACACTTAGCAAACACAGACAATGCACCAAGTCCACTTAAACACAAAGAAAATCCGGTTTCAAACGGAGCTTATTGTTTGGGCACATAAAAGGGCTTACTAGATAATTTCTCATCTGCACAATTTGTGGTTTTAAAACTTAAGATGTGATACTTTGTAATCAATTTAACCGGTAATTTTAAAGCTGAGGAGATATTTATCCTGGTGCTTCAAAAAATAAGCAACACCTGCGTTCTGCGTTTCCTCAGTCAAGGGTTCAGAGAAGGGTCAGCTGAGTGTTAGGACAAATTCTAAACATTCAAAATGACTTAAGACCAAAAGCTTCAAAGTTGCACAGTAAAGATGCAGCAATAAGAATCTTACAAATGTCTATTTCTGTTTTTCTTTGCGGTCCAACCTGCAGTAATCCTCTCAGTAAAAAGTAAAATACATCTAAAAATATATTTTTTACAGATAATTCAACAATTGATGCAAAAACATCGCCGTAATATTAACATGCAGCAGGTTCTGTGATGGAGCTTTGCATCCAACAGAAATTACCGGAATAAAATTATCCTTATTTATGCAACAGAGCTAATAAAGCTACATTTTATCTAATATATAACATAATACAATCTAAAAACAGGCATCATTGAGCTTCCTGATTGATTATATATCAGGTGCATGTCCAAAGATGTGCCATCTGACAAACAGAAACCAGCTGGTAACTTTCACAGAAGGCATTTTATGGTGACAACAGCTACACTAAAGCATCACCACTACAAAAAAAATAATAAAATTAGAAAAAGCAGCCGAGAGGAAAGTAATGAAAATGTTCCTGCCTGGATCAGAAACAACTGAAACTGTAATGAAACATGTTACAACAATTAGACAAAGCCCAACAAACTTGATTGGATTATCAAACTGTGTTTTAGGAACATGTGCATTTTGGGGCTTGAATTCTGTGTTGCCATATATTCATGTCTTCTCTCTAAACAGAAGAGTGGCTGAAAACACGATTACCTAAAAATAAAATAAGAGTCAGAGCAGAAAATCCAAGAAGCAGCCGTGAAGACCTGACCAAATGACTGCTGAGTTGGGTGTGAAGCATTTAGGATTCAGGTACACAGAGCAAAACATGCCAGCCTGGTGAACACTGTTAAAAACCCCATAAATTATATCAAATCAATTAATATGTCATCTAATGTTTATTATTTTCTAATGTGCATTGACAAAAGTTTTCATACCACAAGCTTGGATCTTTTTAATGCCCTATTAGTGTGCAGTGCTGAGATAAATTTGGCGCCAGTCAAAGCCTTGTCTTGAAGAGTAGCAACCAAAAATGGCATTGGTGTATTGCCATATTTATACTAAAGAAACCAATTCATTGATAAGTAAATCATAAAGGCTCTGATTAACTTGAAAAAGCCATCATAACTTAATATGTCTGTACAAAAAAAAGAAAAGAAAAAAACATTTGAACATGATAAAATTACTAAAATTACTAAAATGCAAGAAGCTTCAGTCATGATAGTGTTTTTATAGTCTTGCTTGAGCCTAAATAGAATCCCAGCACTGGGTAGGATGACAAATGACGTGGAACCATCTGCCAGAAGTAACAGAAATCTGAAATTGACTAATCAAGATCCCAGCCGTCCCGCAATGTCTTGTGGTAAAGCAATAGCCTGGCCTGGTTTAAAACCAACCAATATTAATTAAATAAACTGATCTACAGCAACTAAGTTCTGTTGAATCCTTCCCAGAGCCTCCTATCAGAACATTAAGGAAAAATGTAATTTTAAATGCAAACAGAAGTGAATATTTTTGTGTTATTATGAGAATTTGAGTTGGAAAATGCATATCCTGTGTAAGTTCATCTTCAGGTTTGTTAATATTCTGGCCAATATGAGTATAAAAGACTTACATTTACTAACAAAATTAGTAAAATTTACATCTCAAATTAACATTAATTAAACCAGAGTAAGTACTGACATAGGACTCCATTGTTATAGTACAAGATTAGGTCCCTTTGAAGCAACAGTGTGCAACTTTTAACTTTTAGGGGTGCTAGACCTGTAACTTCCAGGTTACAGGTCTTACCCTTAAAATGCCAATGGCAAAACTGTGCAGCTACAAAATTAGACATCTCCCTCTGTGTTTTGGAATCAATGAGACTGCATTAATCCTTCTAGATTAAATAGAATAGAAAATCTGTTTATTGTCCCACAATTTCCACATTGTCAGACAATAAAGGGATTTTCTATTCTAAAAAAGATTGAACATCAGAGAACAAAAAAATAATATATTCCAGGGCCATCTCTCTAGTATTTAAGGGGAGTTATGGGCTCAGCGAGGTTTTGAGAAGAGCAGCTCATGGAGCATTAATCCACAACTACTGTATAGTGAAAAACATCATTGCATTTATCTTAAATCAAGCTAGTATTTGGTTCAAATGTTATGCAGTATTGCTTTGATGATACCAATAGTTAGTGTCTAATAGAGTAAAACAAATAGTTTTTAAAAGGTGAACATATACCTCTTTTCTGGAATAAAAAACATGTGAAATATTGCAATGAAGACTCAAATCTCAGATGATCTTAACGTATTTTTTCTTGTTTCTTGTTAAACAAGTCAAAGAATCAAGGGAAAATCTTCTTTTAAGGATAAAGGGCTAATTTTACTAGAAATGAAAAAACAAAAGCTCCACAGCTGTTAAATCCTTTTGCATCAACTTTACTGGGTTTCTGAACTAAAAAGCAAACAGTTCCCTTGTTTTAATGCTGTAGTTTTTAAGTTTTATTCATGTTCTGCAATAGTGAGAAGCATCTTAGTGTTGCCAATGTGCCCTTGAACAACAGGCGATTACAACTGGGCAATAGAAACATGCTGACAGAAAGATGTCAGGTTGGTTGAACGATGAGCAATCCACTGATACTGATAATGGCGAGGGCCTCAGAACATGATGCAAGGGGAGCTGCATTCTGGGAAAGGGAACAGAACAAGGATGAATCACAGGGACATCGGGGAACAGCTCAACGACTGGCGTGCTCCACTTCTGCTAAGAGCTAGGCGAGAAGCTAAGTCTCCTAACAGCTGCTCAGGTTTGGACAGGACACACATTGAGCCGGCTCATTGGACTGAGCTCTGGCAACACTTCAGATGACATTGTTGGGCGGGCATGGAGTGTGTGGATAACTTGTTAACACACACTCTGTTTCCACAACAGTAACAGATTCCCCTAACCACTAAAAGCAGAAGCCTCATTAAAGTCACATCTACATGCATGTTGATATACATCACTGCTGATTCAATACAGAACGGGCCAAGAGTCTGAAATGGGCCAGGGTCAGAATTAGCAGAGTATTAACCTTTCATTTAATGTTAACATATCACAGCATCAGCTGCAGCAAATAGACGTTTCTCTGTTCACCACATATTGTAATATGTATCCTTTCTTAATTTAGTCCCATTTAACTACAAACCTGTCTAGGTTTATGGGAATTTTATGTTAGAAGTGGTAGGAGAGTTATACATGGCTGAATAGAGAAAAAGAGACTGGGCAAACTGACGTCAAAAATAATAAACATCCTAATAATAATGCTGACCAAAAACAAAAAGAAGGCCCTGAGATCATTATCATGATCCTAAACAATTCAGCAAAATAATCAGTTAACTGATGAGAAAGTTATTTTCATGTTGGATGCCTTGAACAGGCTGAATTAAAGCTGCAACAAAGAGTGATGAGAAATTTACAGATATTTCAGACACTCAGTCCCAGTTGTTGCAAAAGCTACAAATGGCACAGAGTTCGGCACAACCAGTTCATTCTGTAAAATATAACAATACTTTACCAGATAATATTAGTATATCCAGAAAACATGGCTAAATGGATCTGAAACGTAAAAAATATTCATAGGCAAAAATCCATGCCATTGTCTTACTTTTATACAAAGTTTAAACCTCCAGCAACTAGTTGGCAGCGCACCGCTAAGAGCCCATTATTCAGCCGCATGATACCAGCCACTGCTAAAAAAAAAAAAAAAATATTGCAATATGTCGTCTTTGGTACTGTACCAGGATAAATTGTGTGGTGAATTGTATTGTATCTCCAAATTCCTACTCTTAATCATTTTATGCACTCAGGTTTGTTTCGTTTGTTTATAATTTGTGACTGAAAAAAAGGAAATGCAGAAGAAATTTATAAATCTATGTTTTAAAATTCCTACTTCATGTTTAATGTGCATTCCCATTTGGAACTTTTGCCC